GCTTTGAAGAATCATTAGTTTAAAAAAATTTTTTTACACCCACTTCCCAGATAGCACCCTCCCATAGCCTCCCCCCACCCACTAGAGCCCTTATACTCTGATATCCCTGCTACTGTCTGCTGTGTTGTCAGCCCCCCAAGCTCGTCCCCACTATTTGTCCGTCTGGTGAATCTAGTCAGCCTATCTAGAGATCCTTGTTTTAGGAAGGTCAGCTGTTCCTCATCTAGCAGCAGTCAGTTGTCAATATCCTTTAGATAAGATTGGGATCTGCTGTTCATTTTCCCAGTTCTATGCTGGGTTTCTATCTGGGAGTCCCTTGGGCCACCCTGGCCAACAACTCAAAAGAAGGTATTTCCCATCTTTCATTGTTGCTTGTTATGTAGCCTTTAGCTATGCATATGGACTCTTAGAAGTTATATTGGCTCCTTTAATCTTTGATTATACTTTCCTTTTGGATGTTTAAGGCCATACAGTTGGCCCAGATAAACCAATTTATTTTTACTCTTAAGGTCATTTGAGGATTTGTTCCTCAGGGGTCACATGGGCTTGGGAGGAGCCCCTGGCTCCTTTCTTTTACCAGTTCCGCCTATGTGAAGATAAGTCAAAGGTCCTGCTCGACCATGGTTGGCTTCTCTTGGAAGCAGGGAGGAAGTTATTACTCTGTGTTGACCCTCCTCTTTGTAGACTGGACACTGGTTCAAGTCAATCTCGTGGGGTCTCCTCGGCCTCCTTGTTCAAGAGGACAGGTGACCCACCACAATTACAGGACATTTTGAGAGATGCTCATAGTCCCCTGTAACTAGCCAACCTAGGAGGGCAAGGAGCAAAAACTGTCTTTTATGTTCCTCTGACCAAATTATTATAGGCCTCAAAGTATGTCTGTTAAATACCCAAGAATGTTAGTTCCACCCGTCTGGTACTTTTAATTACTGTGTGTCATGTAGGTAAATCTTGGCAAAGACCAACTGTTCTCAGATAGACCTTACCTAGATATATATTTCTTGATCTGCTATGTATAATTTGTCAGTAGGTCATTGGAGTAATAGAGGACCCTCTGGTTTTTAAAACTAGCTAGGCATTATTTACCTCTTGCATTGTCTCACCCCTCCATCATTATTTACCCAATTAAGGTGCCCCCATTTTCCCCCTTTCTCCCTTACTAATCCACTTCTCCTGTGGTCCTACCTCTCTTGAGCTTCTTCTTTCCCTTTATCCCCTAGGTTTCTTGTATACCCTTCCCTCCCTCCTCCCTTAAACTAATCCAATTTTTATCCATATCTCCCTTATTAAGGCCTCTTACCTACTATTCTTCTCCTTCAGGTTATTTCTTTTCCTTTACCTCACTGTTTCCTTACCCTTGTCCTGGTTCCTGGAGTAATGTCTGTTTGCATACTTATTTATCAGAGTCTGATCCTAGGATCCACATATGAGGGAGAACATATGTCGATT